CCCCAACCCCCCTGATGGGCCCTGCTCTGTGCGTGACAGGGGGCAGCGCCCCAACCCCCTGATCGGCCCTTCTCTGTGTGTGACAGGGGGTGGTGCGGCAACCTCCCCATCGACCCTGCCTTGAGTGTGACAGGGGGCGGCGTCCCAACCCCCCAATTGGCCCTGCTCTGAGCCTGACCAGGGGCTGCACCTAGGGATTGGGCCTGCCCTCTGCCACCCGGAAGCGGGCCTAAGCCAGCATGCCGTTATCTCCCGAGGGGTCCCAGACTGTGAGAGGGCACAAGTGAGGCTGAGGGACACCCCGCCCCGCCAGTGCACAAATTTTTGTGCACCGGGCCTTTAGTAATATAATAAAAAGTATAGACAATAGAACTAGGACAGTGAAAAGCATTAGGGTTGGATATTTAAGGCTGTTAATTACATATACTCTTCAAACATTTTAAGCCAGAGACTATATATCTCATTACTTTCAACTGAGAAAATGACATTAGAGGGGTGAAAAGTCATTCTCTCCTTTACTTTACTTCTACAAATAACAGGGTAGGGTGAAGAGGGAGAGTTCTCATGTAGGAATACATATAAACAAAACCTCAAAATGAGAAAATGTACACTCCCAATTTCTTCTTCTTCTTTTTACATCATTGTAAATGATACAGAGGCCAGGGTTCTGGAGTTCAGAAAATAAGTAAGTCAGCATGAATGAGTAATGAAGCGTGCCTGGACTGCATTCAGAGGCAGACTCTAAAAGGAAGTAAAAAAGGGTCTACTTCATACTCAGAGCTCTGAATACCTTCTGCATTTATTTTACACTCACTCCTATTTCCACTTGATACCTTAGAATCAATACAAAAATACAACAGAGTATTTGAGCAGGAAAGACCATTAGAGATCATTTAAGAGTTTTTAACATGAGGTAAAGGGCTCTGTGAAATCATTGACATTAAGCCTATTTTCTGCATGTATAGCTATATGTACTTTTTTTCAGGAGGAGAAAGTCAATACTATTCCCAAAGAGTTCTGTGGATCTTACAAAAATTATAACTTTAGATTCTAGTCCAACCACCTTGTTTTACAGATGAAGAAACTGTGGCCTGGAAAAGATTTGCCCAGGGCTCACAATGAATTAGTAGCAGAGGTGAATCTAGAAACTAAGTTTCTTTTCAGTATTCTTTCCACCATGATACAATGGCTACCTCAAGAGATCCCATAGTTAAAGTCAGTGCAAGTTCTTAAAAGTCCTGATTATTACCTTTGCAGTGAAAATTCCAGCATCCATAATAGTTTTAATGTGTCTCAACCACCTGGAGCTCTCCAGGCCACTAAGAAACTCACTCATTGTTGGAGTTTTCAATTCACAAACTAAGGTAGACAGGGAAATGTTAGGGGCAGAAATAGAATATTGGGGACTAGCTACAATTATAGGAAATATTAATCATGCTCTGTTAACCATGATGGTTCTGTTCTGATTAGAAAGCACATTTTCACTTGGCTGGGAGTTGTACACCCTGGGACGTGGGAGCTAATATGAGAATGCAGTCCACCTTCCTGTTCTGAGAACTGCCTATCATTATGGAAAGATTTACAACCTTATTGCTGAGACAATCTAGTCCTGGAGGCACCTGCTCTTTACAACCCTAGCCCCTGTAATCTGTTCCTGGAACACCTGGGGGCACCCGCCCTCTGTGACTCCCTCTCTCCAGCCCACATGACTTGTAACCTGTAATGAATATTCCATGCCCACTTTCTCATACCTGTAATTCCTACTTTCCCACATAATCTTTGTCCTTCTACCCAATATAAGCAGCTGGCTTATGGTGGGGTGGAGAGCAGATTTTTGTGGATGACATGCTGCTGTTCCATAATGCCAGCATTATTGGAATAAACGCTCATATATGATTCAACTCTATCTCTGCTTAATTGGCTGAAGTAGTGACAGGCAGCCTGAATTCCTTGGTTGTCCTGTTACAGAAGCAGAAATTGAAATTCACAATAACCTCTATTTATTCACCAAGAAAGGTGAAAAAGTGGATCCTAATTTTGTAAATGAGGAAACTGAGGCACGGAAAGGTGAAATGATTAGTTAGGAACCACACAGTGAATCAGGGACAGGATTAGGGCTAGAGTCTACCATAGCTTCCAGATCCAGTCCCTTCTTTCTTGAGTTGTACAATCTACCCACAAGCCCACAAAAATCTCTAAGAGAAGAGCCAGAAGAATGAGTCAGTATCCACAGGAAAACACTCACATCTCTTATTCAAAAACACATTTATTCCTATGTCCTCACCCTGGCTCTCAGTCATCTGTTTTTTACTGTGCATGTGGCAGCATAGGAATTTCCCCTCCTCCCTCTCTGCTAATTCAGTATTTGCCCTGCAGCATCCCTGGGGAGATTTTCCTGTCCATTGTGAGAATTAGGTCTCCTAGTGGCAGTCCCCTGGAATATGTGAATGAGTTTGTTTACTCTATAGTTTCCCAGCAAACTAGATGGAATGATGCCCTGCTACCTGCTTCAGCTTCCCAGTTTATTAAGCTTACTAGAGGCCCAGTGCACGAAATTTGTGCACACGTGTGGTCCCTAGGCCTGGGCAGCGATCTAAGCATGAGCGTCTGGCGTGGAAGGGCAGGTCCCAGGTGACCTCTGGGCCCTGGGAAGCACCTGGACCCCCAGGCCCTCGCACGCCCCCCTCTGCCTGAGTCACAGCACCTGAGTCCCCACATGGAAATGTGGTGAGCACAGCCAGGGTGCAGCATGGGCCTCTGGGCCACCCAGCAGTGCCACACAGAAGCCAGGTGGGCAGCACGCTCTCTCCCAGCTGACGTCACAGACCACAGACCAGCTCTGCACAAACCCACAGGGAGCTCGACCGGCCCCTGTGGTCCCAGCGGCTGCAGCCTGGCTCACCCAGAAGGTGCAGGGGCGCGCTTCTCGTGGG